CCCCACACCCCCTTAAAAAAAACAAAAAAAAAAAAAAAAACAGACATTCTTCCTTATAACGGCAAGTCTTAAGGAAATCGTAGCAGGATCTAGTCTGAGCACCATCCTCAGAGAATTCTGGCCCTGAGTCCCCCAAATGGAGTCAAGGCCTTCATTTACACAAACCTGGGGACGCAATGACTGGAGTGTTGCAGGGTTTGAGGGCTCCGGGCCCAGGACCTGTGCGCCTAAGGTCATAGGGTTTAGGGGGTTTAGGGTTTAGGGTGTTTGGTGTTTAGGGTTTAGGGTTTAGGGTTTAAAGTTTAGGGTTTGGGCCCCAGAGAGGTGGGGTGGGTGCACGAAAGGCCCTGCAAACGGAGCCATGGTCAGCCTCTTTGAAGTCAAGGAAGGTGCGCTGAAGCTCCATCGCTCTTCGAGGCTGAGATCCTAGAGAGCCCTTTGTACCCCTTACTTCAGGAAGATTCCCTAAACCATAGGAAGGATCTCTATCCAGAATCTAAGGTATATTTCCTGAATTCAAGGGGTATAAAGGGCTCTGGGTATGCTTCGACGGGGATGGCTGCCGGTCCGGAAGTTTCCATGCGCAAAACAAAGCGTAAACTGTTAGGGTTTAGGGTTTAGGGTTTAGGGTTTAGGGTTCAGGCTTCAGGGTTCAGAGTTCATATTTTGGGGTTCGGGTTTAGGGTTTAGGGTTTAGGGAACCCAAAGAGCCCAATACCCGCGAAAAAAGGAATGCACCTTAATTTCATATTCGGGATCCCTAGATAGTTTACGGGTGTTTACCTTCATTGAGGGGTCTACAGGGCTCCCTTTGTACGGCTTTGAAGGTGTAGAGATTAGGCTTCTTCAAGAATGGGATAAACTGCTTCGTTTTCGTCACGTTATAAGCAAGCCCAAAAGTTGAAAGTTCGTGTTTTGGCTGAGTAGAAGAGACTAGACTCAAGAGTAACCTAGGAATGAAAAGGGCGCTTATAACGGTTTAACGGTGCCGAGAAAGGAACCGAAACCCTAACGGCATGAGTGGCTTGTCCGGGTCCTATAGGATAAGCTCGATCGAGACCCTCAAACCTGCGTTCAGGGTTTAGGGTTTAGGGTCCCAAATTCCCGAACAACCTGCTTGAGAACGCCCCAACCTGCCACTCATTGCCCAGAAAAAAAAACCCACAGATCACAGGCTCGTGAAGTACCGCATACCCGACATCCGTTGAACTGGTGCGAGTGCCCGGAAACCCGAACTCCTAACATGCAAAGCGACTTCACAGTCACACTCTCAGAATGTACATGACATGCACATAACTTATACCCGGAGCCCTACTTGGACATTCATGGTTCTTCTGAACTCAACTATAACTGTGCTTACAAATTAAGTATAACCAGACGACGTAGGGCACTTCAGGA